CGGAGCTGTTCGGCGGCTGCTGCCGGCCGGGAGGGGGCCCGACCGTGGGCGGAACCCTCAAGGCTAGAGGGGCCGGCAGTAGCAGCGGCTGCGGGGGCCCGAAGGGAAAGAAGAAGAACGGAAGAAACAGAGGGGGCAAAGCCAACAATCCCCCATACTTGCCCCCCGAGGTAAGCACCTGAGAAGTGGCGGAGTGAGAACAAACCATTTCTTCCGGCCCTACGACCCCAGAGAGGAGGGACAGAGAGTGAATCTCCCCTTCCGGTGTCCAGACCCTAGGGAAGGGGCGGGAGAGGGAACCCCCTTCCGGTCCCAGGACCCCAGGGAGGAGGGAGCAAGAGACTGGATCTCCCTTCTGGTGGCCGAACTCCCCTAGTAGAAGTGGGAAGAAGGGATACCCCTTCACATTTTCTTGGAAAGAGCAGAGTAGATCACCCTGCCCCCGCTCCCTGTGCTGCGACAGGTGAAGGGAGATTGCATCCTGGGATAAGAAGGTAGGCAGAGTAACCACCACTTACTCCTAACTTGTTGTACAGTGTGGAGGGGAGTACCCGGTAAAAGACCAGTGTGTTCGCTCCCTATCTTCCAGTACAGACACATGTACATAAAACCAGAAGAACAGTGAGACTTAGCCCTCTCACCCTTTGGTGTTCTATGAGGGGGTGGGGACAAAGAGCGCCTCCACAAACCTGCTTCATCTATCTCAGAGGTAGAGGATAACTGCTCCTTTGTCCCTCTTAGGAAAGGAGGACCGGGGGAAGAGCTTAAACTAGTGGTTATCAAACTTTAGTGTGCATCAGAATCACCTGGTTTGCTGGACTTCTCCCCCAGAATTTCTGATTCAATAGGTCTTAGGTTGGCTTGAGAATTTGCATTTCTTACAAGTTCCCAGATGATGCTGATGCTGCTGTTCCTAAGACCACACTTTTAGAACCACTGACCTAGACCATTCTTGGACTTTTCTGAAGTTACCAAGCCGAGATATTTTCTATGCCCCAAAAACCAAACTCACTGCCGTCAAGTCGATTCCACTGGTTGTAACCCTTCCTTGGGGTTCCGAGGTGGTATCTCTATGGAAGTAGATTGTCCACTCAGTCTTTCCTTCAGAGGAGTAGTTTCCATGTCCAGCAAAGTGTTAAAAAGGTTTCTAGAGCATCTTTGTTGATGGGAAAAAATCTCCCTTACACTCTATGAGGTGGAGATTATGGATGAAGACCTGACAGAGCCTGGGTGCTAGAGGGCTGAGAAAGGATGGAATAACAGAAATGGAAGAGGAAAACTGAAATGGCCAGGGAGGAGGAGTGTAGAAATTCAGGACCTACAGAATAGGTAAATCCATAGAGACAGAAGGTAGATTAGTGGTTGTCTGGGTCCAGGGTGGGGGGTGGGGGGAATAGAGTGATGAAAATTTCCTGGAATTAGTGATGATGGTTGTACAACCTTGTGATATACTAAAACTCACTAAGGTGAACACTATGAAGGGGTGGATTTTATGGTCTGTGAATTATATCTCAATTTTTTAAAGAGCCCCCTTTTACCACTAAAGACAAGAAATGTAGGACTAATGTAGGTAAAGTAGAGGGAGTAGAGTGGGCTTTAGACTATCCTTCTGGCCTTTGGGGTCCTTCTTCCTTGAATTGTAGGATCGTGGAGGAAATTCCTGGGTTATGGAGCCCAAACTCTGTCCCCCACTTACCATCACCCCATATTTCCTTGAACCTGAGAGGGGAAGGCTCGGACAACAAGATGTTTTTGTGATGGGTAACTTGATTTAGGGAGGAGGTGGAAGAGATTATGCGGGGTAGATTCAGGATTTTACCTCATCTGAAGCACCGGGATTAGGAAGCAGGAGGTAAAAGCCATTGTGAGTCTGGTTTATGGAGTGTCTCCCTTTCATTATTATTTTCTGAGTTTCTTCTGTTCACTTCAGCCCCTACTTTGGAGCCCTACTCCTCTTTCACCTGGGCTCCTCTCTCATAGGGCTTGTAGTGACCGGTGCTGAGCTCACCCTTTGGCCCTGGTCCAGAACCTCTTGCAGCCTCTTACTCTTGATGACATCAGCTGAGAGGGGCGGGCAGGAAGGAAGCAGTGTCTCCCAGACCAGTGGCAAAGAAAGGCCTCAGCAGCCTGGGCACAGAGCCTTCTTGGGACAGTTTGAGGCTCTGAGGAGAAGGGATGATCTTGGATCTGGGAAGAACATGCTGCCAGTGGTCGAAGAAAGGAGGGACTCACGGTTCTGTTCCTGGCTTAATAGGTGACTGTATCTTTAGACTCTTTTCCTTTGGCCACATTGGGCCTGAGTAGAGGGCTTCTCTGCCACTGATCTTTCTTTGGCAGTTACCTGCTTAGGCAGGTGCCCCTGGGGCTTCCTGCTTTCTCAAGACACCTGCCTGGGCCCCAACAGGAATCAGGAAGTAGGGGTTGGGTCCAGATGGTGTGTGGTAACTACTACCTGTTTCTTTTCAGGCTGAAGATGGAAACATCGAATATAAAGTGAGTCTTAGGCTGGGGAGGACCAGAGGGATGGGGTAGGTGTTCTTGCCAGCAAGGGGTAATTTCTCTGAGATTCTTCCAAACCTCATGATCTGTAGTAATTTAGGGTTATGGTTAAGGGTAAGGGCTCTGTACCTCATTCTCTTGGAGGAGCACTCAGTGTTAGAGTGGGTCAGGGACAAGGGGTTTTGGTAGGATGGGAGGGTTCTGGTTCTCTTTGCAGGACAAATGGGGAATATATGGGCTTGGGAGGAGTATTCCCAATTTCATCTTCTCATCATATCTCACCTGCCCTAAGCTGAAGCTGGTGAATCCTTCCCAGTACCGCTTTGAGCACCTGGTGACACAAATGAAGTGGCGGCTTCAGGAGGGTCGCGGTGAGGCTGTCTACCAGATTGGGGTGGAAGACAATGGGCTGCTGGTGGGGCTGGCAGAGGAGGAAATGCGGGCTTCCCTCAAGACCCTGCACCGGATGGCAGAGAAGTATGCTTCCCTCTCTCTTACCTAACTCTAGGGAGGACCCAGGCATCCCACTCCAGTTGGACCTGAGGGGCTAAGATGAGACTTGTCTTCTCTTAGGAAAGAACTAAGAGGGGAGAGTGGGTGTTCTCTTTACTGGACCTAGGATTTTTTGCTCCTTGAGTTAAGATTTTTTGTTTTTGTTTTTTGAAAAGAGAGCTGTGGATCTGAGATGGATTAGAGGGAGTTGGGAAGTAAAGTAGGGTGGTGTGGGGAGCTCTGTGAGAGGCATGGGAAGGCCAGTGGCCCAGAGTCTGGCTGGAACAGGGGGACTACAGGTGAGGTATGGCAGCCATGGCTTTGCTGTGACAGGGTTGGGGCAGACATCACCGTTCTCCGGGAGCGTGAAGTGGATTATGATAGTGACATGCCCCGGAAGATCACTGAGGTCCTAGTACGAAAGGTCCCTGACAACCAGCAGGTGAAATGCACGCTCTTCCCTACCCCTCATGCCCACGTTCCCTGGGAGGGTCCTGAGGTGGCAGACTCCCCGGCCTGGGATCCTGGGGGTATCCAGTTTATCTCTTGCTCCTCAAGGGCCATCACTGCCCTTGCCCTAACTCTGTGGCGAGAGGTGGGCATCGGAGCCCTTACTGCAGGCAATTTGTCCACAGTTCCTAGACCTCCGTGTGGCTGTCTTGGGGAATGTGGACTCAGGGAAGTCAACTCTGCTTGGAGTCCTGACCCAGGGAGAGCTGGACAATGGGCGGGGCCGAGCCCGGCTCAACCTGTTCCGGCATCTGCATGAGATTCAGTCTGGCCGAACTTCCAGCATCAGCTTCGAGATCCTGGGTTTTAACAGCAAAGGAGAGGTGCATGTGATCACTGGGACCCAGTGGGGCCAGCCTCTGAGGATGGGATGGTAACAGTGAAGGATAGAGGCTGGGGGCAGAACGTGGAAACTTTCTGTAGTAATGTAGATGAAGGCCCTAAGGGTCTAGTTCTCTTGAAAACAAATGGGACACAACTGAATTAAACCATAAGTGGGGCTAAGGGTTAAGAGGTAAGGTCACCCAGAGACTGTTTTAGGCCCTGGCGACTCTTAAAGGGTTGGGGGGGCTGGCAGTGGGCACTGAGAGCCCTGGGCTCTGGGCCAGGTGGTGAATTACAGTGACTCACGGACTGCAGAAGAGATCTGTGAGAGCAGCTCCAAGATGATCACCTTCATCGACCTGGCAGGCCACCACAAGTACCTGCACACCACCATCTTTGGCCTCACCTCATACTGCCCCGACTGTGCCCTCCTCCTCGTCAGTGCCAACACGGGGATTGGTAGGAACCATGGGGGCAGGGACATGGCTATGGTGGGGACAGGAGGTGTTGACTCTCAGATTTTAGAGCCAGAGTAACTCTCCTCTTCTTCCCTCTCTTCTCTCCCACATTCTCTCTCTTCTTTCCTGCTGCCTGCCTTCTCTGAGGCAGCTGGCACCACAAGGGAACATCTAGGGCTGGCCCTGGCCCTGAAAGTGCCCTTCTTCATCGTGGTCAGCAAAGTAGATCTGTGTGCCAAGACCACAGTGGAGAGGACAGTACGCCAGCTGGAGCGGGTCCTCAAACAGCCTGGCTGCCACAAGGTCCCCATGCTGGTCACCTCTGAGGATGATGCCGTCACCGCTGCCCAGCAGTTTGCTCAGTCACCCAAGTAAGCCTGCCTCACCCCAGTGCCTGATCCACATGCCTGATCCACAGGGAAGGCTGCCACACGGGCCCAATGCCCAGGAGCTTGTATCCCCTCCCCAGGGCCAGAACAGTTCTCAATGCTGTGGTTCTTCAGCTTGGAATTATGGGAGAGTCTTTACTGAAGTACTTGAGCTTCCCCTTGTCCAGTCCTCACTGGGAGCCAACCAGGAAGTTTTCAGATACTCTGGGACATTGGGGATGAAGTGACATACCACACATCACCACCTCCCTCATAGTGTGAATAGCTTCATGTGCTGACTCAGAGATTGAGCTCAGAGCTTCCACAGAGGTTAGCAGATAGAAGAGAAGGGCCCTAAGCTATCTAGAGAGCAGCTCATCTTCCCATGTATGGGGCTATGGTCTCTGCCTCCTATTGGAACTTTCTTATCTGTCCATTTCATGCCTTCCTCTACAGTGTCACTCCTATCTTCACACTGTCCAGTGTGTCTGGAGAAAGCCTGGACCTGCTCAAAGTCTTTCTAAACATTCTGCCACCGCTCACCAACAGCAAAGAGCAAGAGGAACTCATGCAGCAGCTGACAGAGTTCCAGGTAGTAATCTACCTAAACAGGCAGTAGGTTGGGGAACAGAAAGGGGTTAGTTCTGACCAAGCCTAGAGTCTGTTTAGATATCTTGGACCTGCCAGTTTTACCTGCCAGTCCATTGAGAGAGTCTTCTTTGATTTTAGGTGGATGAAATCTACACAGTACCAGAGGTGGGGACTGTTGTTGGAGGGACACTTTCCAGGTGAATTGCCTTGCTTGCCACCCATCCATTCAGCCTCACACTCATACTCGTGAAGACATGGCCCAAAGGAGGAGACTCTGGGATTGAACAGAGCCCATTTAAAGGTGGTGCATGTTTGCAAATTAGGTTTTCATTTTCAGAAAAGCTAGAGAAAGCTAGTCTATTGGCTTATGAGGGAAGAAACAGTATTGCTGCTTATTGGTCCTCTCTGGGCCCCTGAGGGAGTAGTGTATGGATTTGGGACCATACACTGGAGTGTGCTCACCTGGCTTCTCTTCTCAAAGTGAGGAAGATGAGAGGTCCCTTAAGACTCCAAAGCAGAGGATGAAACCTAAGGGGATAACTTGGTCCTTCAGGGATTATGTCTTCTGTGTTGTCAAACCGGCTGCTACCTCTTTGGCTTCAGAGTCTGCACTCTGGACTAGAGCATAGAAGTCATCCCTCCTACATGCATTCAAGTCTGAATTTAGGCTCCCTTTCCCCCACCTCAAGGATCTACCTTAGAAAGAAAGAAATGCTCTGGGTAACCTTGAGCAGAGAAGTAGACGGCAGGGGGTGGGGGGAGCCTAGGCTGACATTGTACCACCTGCCCTCTGGGCTGCAGTGGGATTTGCCGCGAGGGGGACCAGCTGGTGGTGGGCCCCACAGACGATGGCTGCTTCCTGGAGCTGAGAGTGTGCAGCATTCAGCGCAACCGCTCTGCCTGTCGTGTGCTGCGAGCTGGTCAGGCTGCTACATTGGCCCTTGGGGACTTTGACCGTGCACTGCTTCGCAAGGTGAGGTGGGTAGGTGAGTGGGAGAGGGGGCATCAAGAAAAGCACCTAGGAGACTGGCTGCTGAGTGATAAGCACCTAAGGTGCTTCAGAGAAACTCAGAGACAACATAATCAGAGTCCCAATAAGCTTCTGGTCAGGTTGCACAGACTGTCCTCATATGAAAAGAATTAGTGGAGATGACTAAATATGAATTATTGTGGTACATCCTGAGTGTCCAGGGCTCTAACAGTACAAAGCACTACAAAGCTTAGAGAACACAGGAGGTGGGTAAGGGATTTCTTCTACAAGGAGCGTTTGAGTATTTCCTTCTGAGGTTTTGTTTGGAGTCCCAGAGGAAGAGGGAATTGAGATTCTGTAAAAGGGTATAGGGGTGGCTGGGGAGGGAGAGTCTAATGCTAGATCTGCCCTTCTTGGGTCTGGGGGCTGTGCCTCCCTAGGGCATGGTGATGGTGAGCCCCGAGATGAATCCCACCATCTGCTCAGTGTTCGAGGCAGAGATAGTCCTACTGTTCCATGCCACCACCTTCAGGCGAGGTTTCCAGGTGACAGTACACGTCGGCAATGTACGTCAGACAGCAGTGGTGGAAAAGATCCATGCCAAGGTGAGAGTACCCAGCCATGCCCCCATTTTTCTGGGGGAAAAAATCAGAATTTTTCTGCCTGGAGACCTGGTCCCAGACTTGCACGGAACTCCCTGATGCCACAAAGAGAACTGCCCTACTTAGGGTGGGTAGAAGCCTAATGGGCCCCCAGGGGTGGAGAGCCATGACTGGTAGAAAATGGGATAGCCAGTGATCATGTATCTGCTGCAGGACAAGCTGCGGACAGGGGAGAAGGCAGTGGTACGTTTCCGCTTCCTGAAACACCCAGAGTACCTGAAAGTGGGCGCCAAGCTGCTGTTCCGGGAGGGTGTCACCAAGGGCATTGGCCATGTCACTGATGTGCAAGCCATTGCAGCAGGAGAGGCCCAGGCCAACATGGGCTTCTGAGCTCCTCCAGGCAGGGACAGCTCTATTACAGTCCCTACAATATACGAGGTGACTTCCGGCCATGCTGCCCTCTGTTGGCTAGGGAAAGGGGTGCTCGCTGCCAGTTGCTCCCCACCACCGTTTTGGAGAGGTGTCAAGCTTGGTGTGGCTGGGGAGGGGCGGTTCTGAGGGAGAAGAAAGGAGCCTTCAGGGCAGTGCTCAGTGGCTGTGCACCCATCTGGTTGACTCATCAACCCTGACAACTCTGTGGCCTGTCTACTGGAGGGAGCGAACTGTGGCCACCTTGGCCTCACTATCAGGACTGAGCGTGATCTACCGATGTGGGCCCTGCACTTCAGGAATTGTTACAACTAGGGGTGGTCCTCAAAAGCACTCCTTTTTCTATACCTCAAGGCCATGTAAGTTGCCCTTCGCTACCTGACTGGACAAAAGAAATCTGCTACTGGCCACCTGGTGGCCCAGGTTCTGAAGAAATGGCACAGGGAAAGTGAATGGCAGTGCTCCCACCCTGTGCTGAGGCCTGAGGCCTGTTTCTCAGCTTTATCTCCCTTTTCCTTCACTCAAGGGCCATTTCCCCAGTTCCTCCTCTCACAGGCCCCACAGGTGCTATTTGTTGTGCTGGCCCACGCGTGGGGCTGCCAAGCTGAGGCTTGGCATACTAAAGGTCAGCTGCATGTCAGTCAGTCTCGTCCCTTACTCTCAAGTAATCTGTTGGTTTTAATGCTGAATCAAACAGTATGTTTTACTTTCACAGACTAGTGGCTGGGGACCTGACCCATAGCTCCCCTACCTGCCACTTTCCCCGCCCCCTTCCTGCTCCCACGCCCTCTCATTTTACTAATTTGCAGTGACCATCCCCTTCCCTCTGTTGCAGGGAACCAGGAGGAAAGGGAGAGATGTTGCCATATTTCCTACCTTTAGGGCATGGACTCCCTCCTTTCCCTTTGTTAGTGTCCTGGGTTCGCATGGACTCAGGGATTTGTTGGTTAAGGTTTCTCTGCATATATATATATATTATATATATATATATATACACAAACATATATATTGTACAGAATAAAAATGTTTTATTGGATATACTGTGCTTATGCTTAAGATACTCGGAAGGAAGATGAGGCAATCTACTTTTGTAGTGATACTGCCTCGGAAACCCAAGGAGGGGTCGCTATGAGTCGGGTCCGACTCAACGGCACATAGCAACAACAACAACATGCTTAAGATACAGGCTTAGCCTCCAGAACTAGATTCCTCTTTAGGAATATAGAAAGACAAGTGAAACTCCAAACACTGCTGACCCCTGAATGCAGAAACGTCAGATCTGTGTTCCAGTCTCATAACCAAATGTTCTGCCCTGTTTTGCCTAGTTCTTTGAGCTAGTAGCAGAGTAGAAAGTGAAACCTATCCTTTTCATTTGAAATAGGTAGCTACCCTACAATAGGGAGTCCTCCATTGTGCCCTGAAACTAATGCTGTCAAGAGATTTTGAGATTAGAGGGCAGCTTACTTAAGGAAGAGTGGGATTTAGACAAATGGTAAAATGGCTCTTCATGTCTAGCAATGACAAGTAGCCTGAGGTGAGGTTTATATACCCTAAGCTGCTAGGTCCCCTTGGCCAAATCTTAGTCCCTCTTCCCTTTTCAGAGTATCTGATTACTCACATTTTATAGCTATAAAGTTAACTGCAAAAAAAAAAAAAAAAAAAAGGACTTGGCAAAAGAAATTTAATGATAAATGGGTCCCGAGGTCCCATGTGGTGTTCTGCCTCCAAGGTATTAAGTGGTAGTGGCTTCCTACCATTCAGGCTCAGCTGCTTTTTAAAATATCACTGGTGTAACTTGCTTCTAAGAAGCTTGTGGTTGAAAAAACTTCTTCCTGTATTGGAACTACAAGCTCTTTACTCCCTTTTGTGCTGTTGCTGATAAACAGTTGTGAAGAGGGAAAGGTTATATTCCTCAAAAAGGCACTACAGCTTTTCCTTAGCACTGACCTTTGCAAGGTAGTGGTTAGAGTTGGTATCCCCAAGAAAAGAGAAGGCGTGCTGCTGGTCTCTTCTTTACTGGTCACCCACCAGCCACCATCTCCTTGCCACACGTGCACTGCCAGTCTCAAGAAACCCAGTAAAACCTGGGTTTCTGCTGTCCTTCATCCCATGGACAGGAGTAGAGAAGGGGAGAAGCTTGTCAATCCGACTTGCTCAGCTTGTTCTGTATAGTGCCCAAGAGAGATGAAAGCTTTAGCAGAGTTTTTTGTTTTAAAAATACTTATCTTTTTCCTGGATAAAGAAAAAGGAAACATTGGAAAGCCAACATCTCTAGACTTAATGAGACATCTGGAACTAGGGAGCCACTTACTTGCTGAGGAACATTTTTGGAATGTTTAGGAAGAGAAATAGTTGTATAAGGCAGGCCCCCAAGGAGTACTGTTTCACTTCAGGTAATAAGATCTGAAAGTATTCACCATTCAGTGAATGTCAAGCACTATGAGTAAGACACTGTGAAGCACAGTGAAGAATTCTTGCCTACAGGAAGCTACAATACTAGTAGGGAGAAGACATGTACACTACTAACATTATTTAAAAGATTTCCATAAAATTAGAAAACACTTGGAGGAAGAAATAGTTTCCTGCTGTACCTGGTGGTTTTCACACTTTTACCACTTCTTCTAACTGAACATATACCCGTCCCTAATTTATAAATCAACTAAAAAGTAGAGGAAGTTTTGTGTATTTTATGAGAAGGGGAGAATATGTACACCATTTTCGCCTTCCTGTTCACCTTCCCTACCACCCAACTCGGTTCACCTTTTGTTGGGTTCTCTGTGCAATTCCAGGTTTCCCATTGAAAGTCATGTCAGAAAAGCCAAAGAGCTGACTTCTTATACATAAGAATGGAGATTAAGAATACTGTACTGTAAGTACTGGACACATTGAAAGAGCTACCATAATGAATTTAAAGTCCTAAGTTCATACTTCAATAAGGAAGAGATGAACAGGTCCCCTCTCCTCACAACATGCCAATGACCCTAAAGTCCCAAGCACTTACCTCTTAAATTTATACTTTGGGGTCTAAGGAAATGCTAGTGGTGTCTTCTAGATCAGTACTTCTCAAACTTTTAAGATGCACACTGATCACCTGGGGAATTTTATTAATGAGCAGATTCTGATTTTGTAAGGGTGACATAAACTATTTCTGACAAGCTCTCTGTGATGCTGCTGTGCCTCAAATCTCACTTGGAATAGGAAGAGTCTAGAGAGGATCTAGTTTTGATCATGCTTTACTCAATCTAAACAATTTCCAAACTGGTTCAGTAGCAATCGCATTCTACATTAGAACAAAATACAAGTGCTCGAAGGGCCAATAGCTAAAACTATAGCCATAAGAGGGTTAGTGGTTAGGTGCTGTCGAGTCCATTTTCGACTCATAGCAACCCTGCCTGACAGAATCATCCCATAGATTTTCTTGGCTGTAATCTTTATGGAAGGAGCCCTGGTGGTGCAGCACTTAAGTGCTCACCTGCTGAAAGGCTGGTGGTGGTTCCAACCCACCTACTGGCTCCAGGGAGAAAAGACCTGACAATCTGCTCCTGTATTGATTAAAAAAAAAAAACCAAACCACTGCCGTTGAGTCGAATTCCCCCCTTGGGTTTCCGAGGCAGTATCACTATATCACTATGGAAGTAGATTGTCCAACCTTCCTTCCAAGGCATGGCTGGTTAGCAGTCGAGTGCTTTAGCCACTGCACCACCAGAGCCCCTAGGAAACCCTATGGAGTAGCTCTGTCACACAAGGTCGCAGAGAGTCAAAAACTGACTCAGTACCACCTAACAACAATCTTTATAGGTGCAGATCACCAGGTGTTTCTGCCTTGAAGTCACTAGAGGGTTCATACTGGCAACCTTTCAGTTAGCAGCTAAGCATTGAACTACTATGCCACCAAGGCTCCTTTATAATAGGGTTTCCAAAAACTCAAACCAAACTCACTGCCATGGAATGGATTCCAACTGATAGCAACCCCTACTGGGTTTCCAAGGCTGTATGTATATCTTTACAGAAGCACACTGCCTCATCTTCTGTGGATTGGCTGGTGAGTTTGAACCACTGACCTTTGGTTAGCAACAAAACGCCTTAACCACTACACCACCAGAGCTCCTATGATAGGGTTTACTTGCATGAAATTCAGTGTTTGAGTAGCTTTTATGTACCGAGCCTTGCCCTAAATTTACCATATCACTTTAAAGTCCCAACTCTTCTCCCATTCTCCAAATGAAATACAGTTTTGGTCAAGGTATTACCTTAAACTGCCCATCACAGAGCTGATGGCCTTTTTTTTAAAAAATACATTTTATTGAAATATCAGTGAAATACACTTAAAGTGACATGGGTCAATGCATTTTTTTGCAGTGTTCTCTCCCCTCCCTTCTCACCCATGTTGTTGTTATGTGCCTTCGAGTCGAACCCGACTCATAGTGACCCCTCCTTGGGTTTCTGAGGCAGTATCACTACGGAAGTAGATTGCCCAGCCTTCCTTCCGAGGAGTGGCTGGTAGGTTTCAACCGCCAGCCTTCTGGTTAGCAGTCAAGTGCCTTAGGCACCAACAAAGAAAGTTTCCTTCCATCTACAAACCTTTCCTTTTTACAATAATGAATTAATACTGTATTTGTCCTTCTGTGATTGACTTAACTTCACTCAGCATAATGTCCTCCAGGTTCATCCACGTTATGCGGTGGTTTGCAAATTCTACACTATTCTTTAGTGTTGCAATAGTATTCCATTGTGTGTATGTACCATAGTTTGGTTATCCATTCTTCTGTTGATGGGCACGTAAGTTGTTTCCGTCTTTTTGCTACTTAATTAGTGCTGCGATGAACATGGGTGTATATGTATCTGTTCTTGTCTTGGGTCTCAGTTCTTTAGGACATATACCTGGTAATGGCATTGCTGGGTCAAATGGTATTTCTAATTTCAGCTTTTTAGGGAATCACCTTATTGCTTTTCACAGTGGTTGTATCATTTGACAGTCCCACCAGCAGTGTATGAGAGTGATGGACAACTTTTTAAACACTTTTTTTCAAAAATTCAGTTCATCCTCCATGCCAACTTTAAGCTAAGCACTTCACATTATTTGTAATCTTCAATAATCTATGAAGTATTCTCAGTTTTACAGTTGAGGAAAGTGACCTGCTTGAGGCCATACTTACAGAGGCAATGAGGTGTGGAACCAGGTCTCTTAGGCTCCAGGGCCCACACACTTTATGATGCTGCCTCCCTAAACTCTAAACGAATAAAAATTCAAAGTAGTTCTCTCTCTGGCAGATGAATTTTTATATCTCTATCAGTGATGGGATTAGAATCCATGCCTGTGAAGAGATGGAAGCCTTAACCCAGCACCTAACTGGATTATTTTTATTAAAAAAAATTCATAGTTACAGATTTCCTTGAAAAGTGAACATATTTCCCTCTCCCAGGTAATAGATAAAATACTAACACCCTGCAGCAAGTCTGAGGGCAGCACTAGTGTGTTAATGGCTTAAAAAATGATTCCAGTGTCTGCATGCCCTCCGGCCTAGGCCGTTTGTTACCGGAGGCCAAAGGGCTCTTGGGATTTCTTTTGCCTTGAGGAGATAGGGCAGGAACAACCCGGGGGCTTGGGGAATGGGGCTGAAAAAAGGATTTCTGCAACTCCAATGCAAAATGATAGTCCATATGTTCTGGCATCTCCCACACTGGTACCAAGGAGCCACACTTTTCACAGGACACTTGGTCTTCAGCATCCAAAAGACTTGGCGTAGTAGCTGCCTTTTGAGCCACACCCAAAGCTGACTTGGAGGCTGAAGAAGCAAGACTGCCTGGGCTGCTCTGGTCCACAGCCATCTCTGCAGGAGTTGCTTTAGAGGATTCTGGTTTCAGCACTTTTTCACAAGTACGGGCACATTCTGGATTCTCTGTCAGAAAATGGTTTCTTAATTCTTTAGAACTGGACCATGACTTTTGTGGAGGAAAGGAAACTGAAGAATTATTAAGCTGTTTCTGCCTTAGGGCTTCTAAACTTTTCTTCTTAAAAAAGGGCTCAATTCCTTTAGTATGACTGGTTTGGAAAGGAAATGAGGGTTTGGATGGTGAACTGGTTTGGATGGGAGCCTGGGTAGTGGCAGTAAGAGAGGAAAGTGAAGCTTCTTTGACTTTGTGCTTTTCTGCAGCTTTTTGGAAGAATGATTCCAGAGAACTGGTTGCTTTCTTGGTGGCTGTCACTGATGGGCCACTTCCCTGGGTCTTAGCTTCTGAACTGGTAACTGGCACCTTTGGCAGAGAACTTGAGTCACTGTTCAAGAAGACGGTGATGTCTGTGCAAGATGAAGGAGCAGAGGCAGAGAATTTGGTAGCACAGAGGAAAAGCATTGTGAGGGGAGGGGACCTATGCAAAAAGGAATAAGAAGATTAGCAACAGGTCACTATTTCAGAGTTTAATACAGATTCAATTTGTAAATGATGGGGATTCTGGTTCTGTCACAAGAGGAAATTACTACATACTAAAATGGTTCTCAAACTTTGTTTGTACCTGATCGTTAACAGATTCAGTAGACCTGGGGTGGGCTTGTTTCTAGAAAGTTCTTAGGAGATACTGATGGTCTGGGATCACATTTTTGAGAATCACTGACTCAGTGAACAAAAAAAACCAAAACGCATTGCTGTCCAGTCGGATCAGACTCATAGCAATCCCTCCGTGGGTTTCTCAGGTGATATCACTATGGAAGTAGGTTGCCCAACCTTCCTTTGGAGGAGTGGCTGCTGGGTTTGAGCCACCAGCCTTCTGGTTAGCAGTCAAATGCCTTAGGCACTATGCCATCAGAGCTCCTGACATAGTGAACACCTACCCTAAATAATATGGATCCCCTGACAGCTGGGTATTGTTTTTTTTTTATAAGTTACTACTGTAGAGCTGCTATAATTCAGGGATGAGGAAAACCATTTCTTCAGGCGAACAGAAAAACTTTAGAATATTTAGATTAGAAAGACTCTTGAAAAAGATCCTTTTACTCATGTCCCTGTTTTTAAACAGGGCACCACCTGACCCATCTTTGGCTGATTTTCCACTCTGGAATTTCTAGGGAATGAAATTCAGCTTTTGGTTACTCACCTCAGTATCTCAGAAACATTTCAAGAAATTGCTGTCAAACTTCCTCATTATGTCAGTTACCCAAATTTTTACAAGCTGAATTTCAGAAGAGAAAAACATACTTCTATATACAGATTAGTCTCTCAAGGGGAATAGCAAATGCTATTTTAAATTCTGACAGTGTCTTGTTATCCTCAGGTTTCATGCCTTGGGGCAGAGTCTTATAAGCAGGTAATTTTGAGACTTCCTTGTCAATAAATTTTATCCTATTAGTAGTATTCTAGTCTGTCATTAGTATGTTTTCAAATGAGGTATCATATGAACATAGTACTGCAATTATCACTTAGTTCTCTAAAACTTTTTAATATTTGAAGTAAATAAATACAGTGAGAAGTAAAAGTTAAGTAAATTACTCTAAGTAGAGAACAAAGACTCAAACTTCAGAGACCCTATTTATTGTAGAGGTCTGTACATATAAGAGGAGTGCCAATAAGTTTACAAAAGCAATAATTTAGGTGGTTACATTAAACTTTAATTTTTGATAGTATTCAATATAGACCTTTTCTATTTAATGTTTTTGTTATGTGCCACTAAGTTGATTCCAACTCATAGTGACTCCATATGACCGAGCAAACTGCTCCATAGGGTTTCCTAAGCTTTCATCTTTACCGGGAGCAGATCACCAGGTCTTTTCTCCCATGGAGCTGCTGGTAGATTCTAACTGCTGAACTTTTTTAGCAGCTAGTGCCATCAGGGCTCCTTTTCCAGTTTAATAGGCTATGTTAAATAAGTATTAGATTACAATTGTGAAAATCATTAATGGACCGTAAATGAACACACTCCAAAGAGACTTTTTCATATAATTTGGTTATATTTTATAAGCAACTGAAGTGGAATTTACTACTGAATAAAACTGAGTTGGGATTTTAGAGATTATTGAGATGCTTTTAAAATAGGACAATCAAGTAGTTGAGAGAAGTTCCTAAGTATATTCTTGAAATTTGAATTCTGTACTCCAAGAGCAATTGGCCATTCCTCTGACTATAGCAGGCTTATACAGGCAGGAGTAGTCTTGGTGAACTCTGCCTTCTAGCCTAGCCCTGAGAACTAGAATGTCACCAAATGTCAGGCAAGAAAGTTGCAGCTGAGCTGTCTTGTTTCTAGAGTTGCAGCAGTGTTTTCTTCCTTCGTAAATAAAAGACCATTCCCCTTTAAATTAAGTGTTGCTAGCCAGAGTCACAAAGAGCTGACCCCAGCTGGAAGAGATCAGATGCCTACTAATTTTAGAACTAAGACAGGGCGTAAGTCTCTTCCAAGAAGACAAGCTACAAAAGAACTCACCATTCAGTTTGGGTTCCAGAAGTATTACAGTTCCTAATGACAGCAAATGCATCATGGCTCATCTTGTGAGCATCATAGCGGGTGAGGGCACAACAGCGGCGCAGGCTGCTGAGACGTTTGTCTCCTTGTACACGAATGCTCACAGTCAGCTGGGTGGCCACCCTATCATTCTGTGGGTGGAAAAGGATTGAGACCAGAACTAAAGTTAACATGAGCATCTGGATTTCATATGCTGAACTGCATGGAAGGAAATGAAAAAGAACCAGGGTGACAAAATGGTTTGGAAACAGTAAGTTTAAAAACCAAGTTTTTATTTCAACATTTATTCATATAAATTACAATACTGTTATGCACAAGACACTAGATTAGATACTATGACGGATGCAAAGACATTTCCTGCCGTCACATATCTTACAGGAGCTCTGGTAGGGTAGTGCCTAAGGCACTTGACTGCTAACCAGAAGTCTGGCAGTTCAAACCCACCAGCCACTCCTCGGAAGGAAGGTTGGGCAATCTACTTCTGTAGTGAAACCGCCTTGGAAACCCAAGGAGGGGTCGCTGTGAGTCGGGTCTGACTCGATGGTACATAACAACAGCAACAACATATATCTTATATACTAATAGTATAGATTTGATTACAAAACCACTTTTTTTTAAATAAAAAAATCCAATTACATGGTTCCACAAAATTTTGGTGCTATTTCTGGGTATAAAAAGTAATAAAAAGAAGATGAAATTTGGGTGATAAGAGTATTAGAATATCTAGGATATTTTGACAGTTGATGGGAACAGGATGGAATAAATGAAAACGGAACTCTCCTGTATGTTTTCTTTTTTTTTTTTGGTGTGTGTGTGTGTGGTATGTAAGTAAGAAGACTATAACAAATACTTGTAATACTGTATTCTATCTCATGACTTAAGGAAGGTTTTATGTAAGTAACTGTCTGAAAGGAAGATCCAAGCTAGGATATCAAGATTGAGGAACTATACTAATAGATCTATTCTATAGTCTTACCTTTTTTTTTTTTCTTTTTCTCCTTCTGCTATGATGCTCTTATACTTAGTAAGTTTCTATAAAAAAAAACAAACTCTTTTTTTCTTAAAGTTTCCAGTAGCACCTGCTTCTTACCATCCATCTATAAAATATACAATGTAATGAGCCTGCCTCTGGAGAACATGATAGTTGATTCACTTTTCAGTGAATTCTAGGTATCTGAATTGTGATTCTCAGCAAACTGAGAAATAAAACTCAAGATGCAGAAATACATGAAAAGTCTATATAGGAATTCTCTCAAAATCAAAAGATACTAATGAGAAGAAATACCCTTAAGGCAAAGGAGAGGAGAGCAGCACCTATTTTTGGGGTAAAGAGACACAAAACAGGTCATGGATATTGAATGAAAATACACCTGTACAGATTTGGCTAACTTGAGAGAACACAAATTGGCAATTACAAAAGAGTCAGTTATAACTGAATGCCCATCTGGAGCTGTCCAGGCACTAGAAATCCAGGAGAGAACCAGATAAAGTCTAGACCCTCATGGGCCTTATGTGGTAGTAGGGGAACACATAATAAACAAGTAGGCATGGAATAGAAGTGACAAAGATAAGTGCTATGGAAAAAGTAAAGCAAAGAGTGATGAAGGTTGCTGATGTGATAGGGTAGCCTCTTGGAGGGGGTGAAATGGAAGATGTGAACACAGTGAGAAAGCAAATGTTAAGAATATGTTGTTGTTGTTTGCCGTTGATTTGGCCCTGACTCATAGCGACCCCTCCTTGGGTTTCCGAGGCAGTATCACTACGGAAGTAGGATTGCCCAACCTTCCTTCTGAGGAGTGGCTGGTGGGTTTGAACCGCCAGCCTTCTGGTGAGCAGTCAAATGCCTTAGGCACTATGCTACGAGAGCTCCTGTTAAGAATATATAACTAAAAATTCTCCAGGCTGAAGGAATACCAAGTGCAAAAGTGGTAAGGTAGAAGCTTCCTTGGTGTGTTAGAAAAAAGGGAAAGTGACTAACATGGCTAGTAAGTGGAGAGTAAATGACAGGGAGAAGATAGGAGATGAAGTCAGAAGTAGCCAGAAACCAGATCGTGTTGGGCTTTGTAGAATAAAATAAAAGACAAATCATTAACGTGGATTAAGTGTGAAAGGGAAACCACTAGAATGTTTTAAACAATGAAATGACAGGATCTGCTATATCCAGATTTCTTGACAGCCCTTTGAAGGTTAACAATAGAGAAATACTCAGGGAACTGCCACCGTGCTGCACTGGATACAAAGTGGGAAGAAAACCCCACAGTGTGGTTTATAAAGAAAGGGAGAAGATAACAGAATGACACCTAGTGGCAAAGTCAGGTAGGCTGGTAATTGGAATCATGATTGCTCTTGCCTAACAGAACAGTCACTACTAATTCCAACTAAAAAGGAGCAAACAGGTAATTTTATAGTATTACAAACAGTACACTGTTGACTTAGGATTCCCAAATGTTTCAGAAGGAGAGAACATATCAAACGATGCCATTAAGGACCAGGTTTGCTGGTCTGGTAGAGCCTGGTGGAACCACTGAGACTGTGGCCCCTAGCTACCCTTCAGGTCTGGAATTGAACCCACACCTGTGGCTTCCAGTCAAACAAAAGACAGGCATAAGAGTTGAACATGTACCTGAGGTAGATACACTCCTTGGAGAGAACAATCAATGGGAGAAAGAAGGGCTGAATATGCACAGGGAGACAGTTCAGGGGGCAGGAGTGCATGGAGGGATGGACACAGGAAGAGGTAACTATCAGGAGGAAGTGGGAGGGGAGCTGTTGCATTGGGGTAAATTGTAGTTAATGTCATGAGACAAAGTGTATGTGAACTGCTGTATGGAAAGTGAACTTGCTCTGTAAACTTTCACCCAAATCACAATTAAAAAAAAAAAAAGATTCCATTAAGAAAGTGAAAAAACTACCTAACGGATGGAAGAAAATGCTGGCAAATCAGACATCTGATAAGGAACTTGTATCCAGAATATATAAAGAACTCTTAGAACCCAGTAATAATAAAAAGTAACTGAGCTCTGGTGGCACAGTGCCTAAGGCATTTGACTGCTAACCGGAAGGCTGACGGTTTAAACCCTCCAGCCACTCCTCGGAAGGAAGACTAGGCAGGCTTATTTCTGTAGAGATTCCTCCTTGGAAACCCAAGAGGGGTCACTATGAGTCGAATTGACTCAACGGCAGTGAGTTTGGTTTTTGGTTTGGTTTAATTTAAAAAATGGACAAAGGATCTCAATATGCCTTTCAGCAAAGAAGATACACAAATGGTCATAGACACATGAAAAGATGCTGAACATCATCCACCACAGGGAAAATGCAAATCTAAACAACAATATGATACCACTTAACATCCACTACCAGTAACCAGTTGCCTCTGAGTCAGTTCCAACTCAGGGCAAGCCCATATATACATAGTAGAACTGTATTCCACTGGGTTTTCAGGAAGTAGATGACCAGGACTTTTTCCAAGGTGCCTCTGGGTGGTCTCAAACTTCCAGCCTTTCATTTAGCAGCTGAGTGTGTTCAACGTTTGCACCACCCAGGGATTCCTAACACCCACTCACAAAAAAAAAATTCACTGCCGTCCAGTCAAACCCAACTCATAGCAACCTCTCCTTGGGTTTCTGAGGCGGTATCACTATGGAAGTAGATTGCCCAACCTTCCTTCCAAGGAATGGCTGGTGGATTTGAACCACCAACCTTCTGGTTAGCAGTCAAATGCCTTAGGCACTATGCTACCAGAGCTCCACTAGCAGGACTAAATAAATAAAGCCAGAATAACAATTGTTGAAAAGAATGTAGAGAAACTGGAACTCTCATACAACGTTAGTTGGACTGTAAATGGTGCAGCTACTTAGCAAAAACAGTGTGGCATTTCCTCAAAATGCTAAACCTAAGAGTGCCACCAGATCTCCTTTAGAGTTACCACATGACCCAGCAGTTGTACTCCTAGGTATATATCCAAGAAAAATGGGAGCATATGTCTACTAAAAAACTTGTACATGAATGCTCATAATTGCATTTTTCATACCAGTCAAAAAATGTAAACAGAAGGACAAATACTGTGTTAGTTCATTATTGTAAAAAGTCAAGGAAAGGTTTATATATGGAAGGGAACTTTCTCTGTTGGTTACCAGGGTTAGGAGGGGAGGAGAGGGACACTGGAAAAATTAAGTAAGTGTAAACAACCCAAATGTCCATCCATTAATGAATGAATAAACAAAATATGGTATATCCATACAATGGAGTATTACTCGGGTATAAAAGGGAATGAAGTAGTAACACATACTACAATATGCATAAATCTTTGATAAGTCAAAGACTCACTCACAAAAGATTACATTGTATTATTCCATTTATATGAAATGTCCAGAATAGGCAGATCTGTTGAGACAGAAAGTAGACTAGTGGTTGCCTAGAGGTAGGGAGTGCAGAGTGGGGAAATGGGGAGTGCTGCTTTTTGGGGTGATGAATATGTTCTAAAATTGATTGTGGTAATGGTTGCACAACTCGAATATACTAAAAACCATTGAACTTTAAATAGGTGAATTTTATGGTATGTGAAATGCTATTCTTTAAAAAAGAACAAAACTACAACAAAGAGCTATCACTTCATACCTAGTATGATAGCTATTTTATATATATATATATATATATATATATATTTAAAAAGAGGATATTACAAGTGTTAAAAAGGATGTGGAGAAATCGGATCCCTCATACATTGTTGGTGGAATATAAAGTGGAGCAGCCACTGGGGAAGAGTCTGGTGGTTCCTCAAAAAGATAAAACAATTATTCATATGACCCAGATATTGCTCTCCCAGGTATATACCCCAAAGAATTGACAACAGGAACTCAAACAGATACTGGTACACCAATGTTCATTGCAGCATTATCTAGAATAGGCAAAAGTTGGAAAACTTCCAAGTCATCAGATGAATGGATAAATAAAGCGTGGTATATCCATATGACAAAATATTATTAAGCCATAAAAAGGAATGAACTTCTGATACATGCTATAACATGTATGAACCTTGAAAACATGCTGAGTAAATAAGCCAGAAACAAAAGGACATATATGATTCTACTTATATGAAATATCTACAATAGGCAAATTCATAAGAGACAGAAAGGTACCAGCGTTGAGGAGGGTGGGGGATGAAATGTGGAGTTATTACTTAATGGATACAGTGTTTTCTGTTCAGGGTGATGAAGAAGTTTTGGAAATAGTAGAGATGGTTATACAACACAGTGTAATTAATGCTACTGAACTGGACACTTAAAAATGGTTAAAACAGCAGATTTTATGTTATATATATATCTTAAAGAAAAGATAATACAACTTGTTGTTGTTGTTGTTAAGTGCCGTCGAGTCATTTCTGACTCATAGCGACCCC